TATCCTAAAGAGGTGATTGGATGTTTCCTCCCCTTGGAACTGGAAAAAGCTAGACGGTAATGGCAAAACAACAACAGCCATTGTGCTAGAAAGCATTAATTAGAGACCTATTTCTTTCACAGCTTTTATTTCTGGAAGAATTTGTATAAAATGTGTATTTTAAAAGTCGCATGATGTCAGATGACATCAAGAAGGGAAAATGTGGATCCTTAGCTCAATATCTAAGTCAGCTCTCATATAACCGCTGTTGAAAAAAAATGGTTTCCCATGGATCTCCAGGAGCTTTGAGTGAAGCCCATATTACCAAAGATTGAACATTCTCATAGACTATAAGAACATCTATGATGGTTTGTATTCTAGATTGGAGAGAAGTTAAGCAAATCCAGACTGATTTGCTTGTATTCAGCCTTTGGCCTAGCTGAAGGGACTTAATGAAAAAAGCATTACAGTATTCCGTACTCCGGTGTAGTACTGAGACAAAGGTTCAAAAAGGCACGAGTTGGCCTCAAATCATCATGAATGACTTTAAAATAATGTGATTTTTAAAATTCACATGGGGCTCTTTTCAGTTGCCCTCCTAGTTTTTGAGACTTTACCAGGTCTTGTCACCAAGCTTTTCCCCACAACTGTGAGTCCTAAGAGTATTTTTAAATTAAGGCCAAAATGATCACTTAGTCACAGGACTCCGGTAGCTGGGACTTTAAGGCAAATACTAACCATTAAGAGACTTGTGCTGAAATAGTGAGAGCTGGCAACATGGTGAGAACTAGCACTTGACCCTAGGATTTTCAAAGGAGCCAGAGGGAACAAAGTGCCCAGTTGTCATTGACTTCCAGTTGGGCAGATCTGGTAGTACCAAGACCCACTGATAACCTGAGTGTGTTTATACTAAGGCCTTTAATTTTTCCCCTTCAAACCCAATTTCTTGCATATCTAACACTTATACACACACTGTTTTATTTGCAATCACTCTAGATATCACCTACACCAAGCAGCTCTGAGGCTGAAGAGACCAATCAGACTTCAAATGTGGGGCCCTGATCTGTGGTTGGTGGAAACCGCACGAGCTGATCTCAGTGGGGTGACTGCAGTTGAAGGAATGATTGGGGTTCCACATATGGTGGAAAGCTAGACTGAGATGAACATGTAAACTGGAAGCCAAATAGGCTTCTTTTTCCATTTTTCCAACAAGGTTACCTCTGAGCTGCTGGAGAAAAGGAGACCACCTTTCCTCAGATGTCCCTGTTTTTGCTCGGTACCACATTAATCACCCTTCGTGTAACACCTCTGGCCTCCTAACTTGGTAAGCATTTGTTTTCCCATAGCACCATATCCTGGAAAGGACAGGAAGGGGACAGGAAGAAAGAAGATAGCAATTAGGAGTGGAACAGTCACTGCTGCATCTCTATTTGTTCAGTAGGTATTTCAGAGCACTGCGCTTTACTTGCATCACCAGCCTGAGATCAATGTCATTTACCCGAAATGTTGTTAGAACCCATACATATTTCTTCCAGCCAGCCTGCCTTTCAGTCACCCACCTTTTGATCTGGGAGCCCTCAGAATGATAGCAACTGTCCTCTTTAAATGCTTGGGCACCTCGGGAAGTGTCTTCTGGCTAGCACCTTTCTGTCTGCAGTCCATTCAGATCAAGGACTGAACTTTCCAGAAACACTTTGCAGGAGGCTCCCCTATCTGAAGCAGTGTTACCTTTCAGGCCTGACAATATTCTTCAAGCAAGGCACTGTAGGCCGTGTAGCCACAGACAGGGCTGAATGTACAATAGATGCCAGACAGTCCCCACCAGAATCCACGCTGTGGATTTTAGGAAGTACCTGCCCTGCCATGGCCCACTCAGAGAATTTCAGTAGGGAACAAAATCCCAGGGCTAGGAGAGCTTGTTTGGAAGCCTTGATAATTTGATTGCACACTTTAAGTGGAGCAGGGAAGTGTTAATGTTGTAGACAGTTAATACCAAGATGACGTGTTAGGAATACGCAAATCAGGGAACAACACAGGACTGCATCAGCCAGTTTACAGGCTGTCTTGGGAAGGGTCCAAAGCAGTGATGCAGCAATTTGCTGCATCACGCTCCAATTAGCTGTGGCAATGTTATCCTTTGCCAAGGTTTTAAAAAATGAAAATGAATCCAAAAGGTTATTTCCAGCCTGAAACGCACCCAAAACTGATTCCCAGTACATATGCTCCTAACATTAACACAGGCATTATGACAGCAAGTAACAATGTGTCCTAAAGCACAGGCTAAGTAGTGGAAATTAATTCAAGGGTGGGGATGGACAATGATGCATGCTCTCCCTGTTTGTTAATAAGGAAGCGCTATATTGGACACTATTGTATTACATCCATTTGTTCCACAAGCAACCCACCTCAGTGCTCTGTGTAGTATGAGGAAGGCCCAAAATAAGCCCACATCTCCCAGGCTTGGTGTGAGGCCTGAGGCCTAGACAGCAATGGCCAAAACATTGCTGATATAAAGCAAAGTGAATCTGTGAGCAACAGGAAGACCCCTACTCACAGATGTTGGGGCTAATAGGGCTGATATTATAGAAACACTCCTACCTGACAGGCTGAGAGAGCCCATTCTAGAGAGGTTGTAACAGAACACCCAGTGAAGAAACATCTCGGTACCAACACACCCACAGATAACAGGAATCTCCCAACCCAGGTTCAGGACAGGGCCTACACTGACAGCATGATGGATAGCGATCGAACCTCCACGTACAAGGTAATGGGTGGATCTAGGTAATGTCAGAGGGTGGCAAACTGATATGTCAGGAGTGTGACCTGTTTGAATCTGTGTGTAAAAGCGTATCCCAAAGAGTTGTCTTTGTCCGACCGAGGGGGCAGCGTCTCATCCCTGGCACTGACTGAGTCACATTCATTGTCACAGGCACGAATTCTTAGCCTATTTGTAGACATCTGATCCGGAGAAGCTATTATTCTGCTTTGTTTACAATAAACCTGGCCTGGTGCCTTCGATCTTTATCTGACTTTGAGGTCTTTGGGGGCTCTCTCGTCTGCTATGGTAACTATTTGCACAAGCCAGCATGACACACAGAGGAGCACGTGCACACAGCCGAATGGTTATCACTGAGAGAGCAGGAGACCTGTCAAGACACCCTGCCAGTCATGCCTGACTAATACACTATGATTTGCTCAAATCCAAAAGCCTGAGTGAATCAATCACTGTAAGACTTGATTATAATGGTTCCAACACGCTAACAGTTTTCCAAAGCATTCCTCATTGGGGATGAAATGCTCAATTCTCTACTTACTTCCTATATAAACTATTTCAACCACATCCACACACACAAACGAAAAATCAGTTTGAAGCGTGACGTGGATGGAGTCCTCACTGAAGACCAGAGATGCCTTGATTTTATTTGGAAGAACAACAAAAGGTTACTTACCTTACAGTAACTCTGGTTCTTCCAGATATGTTGTCCATGCAGGATCCCACTTGTGACATGCATGCACCTCATGTACATGAAAATGGTACAAACGCATGACACCTCAGTCTTCCCATCTGTAAAACGGGGACAATAATGCTGACCTTTGTAAAACGCTCTGAGATCTACTAAAAGCACTATATAAGAGCTAGACATTATTATTAATGCTATATTTTGGTTGTGAAATCAAGCACTAAAACTCCCAGGAAATTCCAAAAGATAAGATTGTTCTGGCAACAATAACACTCCCATGATACATATAGGTAGCATTCTTCATACCGGTTTTCCTTATTAAATAAAAACCCTAACCTATTACAAAATGCAGGACAATGTAGCACTTTAAAGACTAACAAGATGGTTTATTAGATGATGAGCCTTCGTGGGCCAGACCCACTTCCTCAGATCAAATAGTGGAAGAAAGTAGTCACAACCATATATACCAAAGGATACAATTAAAAAAATGAACAAATATGAAAAGGACAAATCACATTGCAGAACAGGAGGGGGATGCAGGGGGGGGGGAAGGAAGGAAGGTAAGTGTCTGTTACTCTGCCAGTGTAAAGTGGAAAATAAACAGGAGTTAGAATAGCTATGGAAACCTTAGTTGTAGGTGAAACAAAAGACAGGACTATGCAGCACTTTACGCATAGTCTTGTCTTTTGTTTCAGCTAGACCAGACTAACACGGCTGCATCTCTATCACTTAGTTGTAGGAACATCTTGACCAAAATGCTTGATCTTGCATCCAAAATACTGTATTAGTGCTAGTTTTTTTTCATTTAATAATGACTAGGGCTGGCTGTCACACTATCATGAATCCTTTGACTTCTGCAATTTCCAGTAAAAGTCATGGCTGCTCAGTAGCCTTCTGCAGAGCTCCATTAGCTTTCATATTTAAAATTATTACATTTCTAACCCTGATGATTATGAAGGTAATCTTTCAAATATGAATCAAGTGTAACACATATAAGGCTGCCTCCCTAGCAACAAACAGCAATTTCTAGAGAACATTCCTTTTTACTACAGAAAGATGGTTCAGCGATGACAAGAGCAGACTTATAAAACCATCTTATTTAGGAATATATATAAAACAAAACCTAAAATAATTTATACGAAAACTTTATCTACTTCTTAAATATATTATTGACATTTCCTATTTGACAGGAAATAACACATTTGGTATAATTTTAAAATGAAGATTTTAAAAGTCCATTTTGAAAAAAATTACCGTTACACATTTTTAGTTTTTCCAACTAAAATTGTGAGTTGTATTTTTGAAAAACAAAACAATGATTTTTCCATTTTTTCGCCACAACACTCAGCCAGCTTTAACAAATATTCCAGGACATGCTATAAGGTCTGATCACAATTAAGGCAATTATAAAGGGATTTAGTAGATTGTAATTGGGAGCTCAAATGCAGCAGAGATAAAACAGAATATATTACCAAGAACAAATCCACAGGGCACTTTCAGAACGATCAGCTATTTGTGTAATTACTCTCCATTTTAAAAAAGAAGCTGGAAATAAGACAGTTAATTTATAAATCAGTTTATTTACAAGTTTTATCCTCAAAGTACATTTCAGTTAACAAATATATTTACACTGGTGTACACAGGGACAACCCTGGTTATTTTACAGTTCATAATTACAAAAAACCCACATCCTCAACTCTATTGTGCAAAGCTGCACTGGATGCGATTATTGGCTGAAAACTGGCTTAGAAGCCAGCTTAACAGGTTATTTACACATACACAGTAAACAGGTTTATTTATTTTAATATCTGCACAATACAGTACACAGGGAGAGAAGGTCTCCCAAAGGCGGCTTTGCAAATGCATATAAAAAGGCTCTGCAAAGTCAAGGGAAAAAACCTATTAAATGCAGGTTAATTACAGTACTCCTTTTTCATCTGTCTAATATTTTTGCATTTTTAATTTTTATATTTCAAATATGTTCTGGATATTTTGCTTTTTTCCATTTTAGCTGATTTGTAAACACTTTAAAATTCCTACGATTTGAACTAAATACCTTGTAGGTTTCAACTGTTTTTCTACTGAATAGTAATTTATTCTCCTATTATTCTTATGGTAGCAATAGAATCTGAGTCTGAACTACACTCAGTTCTTTGCAGAAGAGTTATTTAAATGCTCTCTAACGCTGTGCTATTGAAAATCTTTTGCACATACACAATTTATTCAAGTATTGCAAAAAGCTAAGGCCACTTTTTCAAGAAAGGAAAGTGAACAAGATAGAGTTTTCATATAGGCCACAAAACCTTATGAGTAACAAAACCTTTTCTGAAAGGTAAAGTAGTAATAGCCCAGATCTATAGCCCAGGAAGTATTCTAGTCCGAGAAAGGTGGTCTCTCTTCATAGTCACACAATTTTGGGCTGCTCTATTTTGCATTAATAGCCCTTCTCCCGGGCTGAAAAGGGCCAAATCTCCATATTGACTCTGCCCACTTTATTTTTGGGCACAGAAAAATCCTGGAATTTCCATGTTCCCTTAACCTTGGATTTTCCAACTCTGTTGTACCAACATAGTTCAGCCATGACCCAGACAGAACATATTGGGCTTGAGATAAAAGGGGAAAGGGAAATTCAGCTTCTCTTTGTTCAACAGGGCTTCCCATACTACTTCAACAATTGATCACAAAGCCTGACCTGAAAGGATCACCACCAAGTCTCAAGTCCAACCTCTAGTACACCTCAACACTTATCAACTATTGAGAATGTAATATAACAGCCATAGTTATTTTAGTCTAGGTTGTTCCCATTACAAATTGGTATAAAAAAAATACAGTGATCTCTCCAAAACGTTTATTTTACACCGTTTCTTTCTGCTCAAAGAGCTGGAAAGACAGCAACTGTTTCTACAGCGGATGCCTAGACTTTTGCTTCCTCAAGCCAACACGAGGAAAAGTAATCTCCAATATTCTTCCACATCTTGAAAGACTGACAGTATAGGACACGCTCTGCGGGTGCCCCTACCACACATGTACAAATGCTATGTCCTACCAGGAATCCTCACAGATATAAATCATCAGCAATTGGCTCCTAGGGATGTAAACTAACTTATTTCTATGATACCCATGCCACAGACCTACTTTGCAGGTTTCTCTTTCTGCTGGTACTCTGCCCTCCTCTATAAACTATTTATACAAATAACAATAGTCTCTGTTGAAAAGACTGATTCATTTTCCTGGCTCTGACAATGACCTGGTTAGTGACACCATGCTCGCTAAACAGGAGCTGTAGTTTGGTTTTCCTCAAACGCTTAAGATAGTTTTGAGGTTCAGCATCAGGATGCTAATGTATCACTCATGAAAATGATTCATGCCAATCCATGAGTATCATCTGTCTTCCAGACAGCTAGAAATAATGTTATCACACATGGAACATTTCACATAGGAATGTCTAAGACACTACTTCATCCTGTTTGTTCTTTACTCGTTTATAGCCCACCAAAAGAGAGAGGCTGGCACTACAACATCTGAGAATTTCACTGGATTCAAAAGCCAACATTTCTCAGTGCTGCCCCTGATTTAAAGAATTACTGGTTGTGTGTCACTGTGCAAGAAGCAAATATTCCAATGACAGTTTCCCCCCAAAAAAAGATGGAAAGAGAGAGTATCATAATGGAGCAATATCACAAGTACACAAAGTAGGAAGCCCAAGAAACGCACACAGATGGAAGGAAAGGAGCAGAAATCTCCCCACATGCATATCACTGGCTGCTGCATCTTTGGGATCCCTCCTATCACGCGTCTGCGTGCACTTCAATACTTCAACATACTCGGAGAACATAATCCCACTTTGAGTCTCATCCTCTGTTAGTAAGCAGGACTTCCACAATTAAGGCATTGATATTCAACCCCATATTGTCTGTGTTTAACCAAGAAATGTAAGAAGGGAGGCCGGATTAAGAATGCATTTCAGAAGAATGGCACTGGGATTGAACAGCTCCAAACATACAACAGGTGGCTGCCTACTGCTAATGCTCTGGAAAAAGAACTATTTATGAGAAGGCAAGCAACAAGGGAGCAGAAAAGAATTTCACATTTTGTCTTCAGATTCCTCCCATTAACACACCACAATCATTGAAATTTGTCCTTTTCATAGTTTTCCCCTTTCCTTCCTACATTTCATCACTGAGGTGTGGTTCTTTCTAACCCTTCTGTCTCAAGAAGCTGGAACTTTTGTGCAAAGAGTATGGCCACTAGATGTTCCCAGGATAGATGCAATATTACATATGTACCTTTCACAGGTTCTGCTGTTTCAAAACCTAAGACAGTGCAACCCTGGCACCTAGACACTTTTTGTAAATTCCAACTTAATAAATTATCTTAAAATAAGTTAAAAACCCCACAACTACAAAACAAGTACACAGTTCAGCACTGGACATGGCTTTCTTTGGTGCATATGCTCATTTCCCTAATTGTTCAAGTAGCTGCTTCTCTGGTTTATTAGGGTTGGGTGGTAGCAAAAGAGGAAGCCAAGTGATTAAAATAAAGTTTTGTGAAAAAAACGTTTTCCACTCCTGCATGTCTACATGCTGAGAGAATCCTGAGTATCCATTTATCTAAGAGCTTCTGGTAGTCCAGGAGATGAGAAATGCTGCATGGTAGGAGTAAAGCTGAGCAAAGTTTAGTTTAGTATGCCCAGTTTTTGGTGGCCTTAACCTTTCTCCTCTTCTTGCTGAAGCAAATTAGATAGGAAACAGGTAAGAATTCTTTAGACAAATGCAAAAAGCAAGCTCATCCAATTTCCCCTTTGTTAGCCCAGTGATCAGGTCTGGTACCACACTGCATGAAGAAAGATGGGAATGGACTTCAAGGGAATGGAATGGCCTCTGGAGTGGAAAAACTGGTGCATATTGTTAGAACCAGAGGATACAAAGTAGTTAATAATGTAACACTATTAATTGCTGTAAAATCCATTGATGACTAAAAACTGACCAGTAATTATCAAAATCACCCAATACAGCTTTCTAAGGACAACTTCGATTCAAACCACTGACAGCAATTTTGGGCCAAGTGACCAGTATCTCAACACAAACGCATCCAACCATCCAGAGTACAATCTGAAGTTCATAGCCCCAGTCTGAGACCATGGAGAGGTGCTGACATATATTCTGTGTGCTGAATTGGTAGAAGGATGGTGTGAATACACCACAAGCCAGCACCAAGAAGGACCATGTGTGGCTGGAACATCAAATCCAGTGTAAAGTCTCTAAAGGGAGGGGGATGTTATACTGTGTTCCTTTGTCACATCTGAACTGCCTTTAAAGCCATGTATGAAAGTCCAGCAGCAGTATTGCTATGGTGGAGATGTAGTATGTGTCAGGAGTCAGAAAACCCATGACAAAAGTTTCACAGTTTCTGGTTTATTTTCACGGATGTCACACGAGCAGTAGTTTCCCTTGTTTTTCATGTATCTGGTTCAGAACATTAATAGTGTCTCTGATTAAGGCCTCGAAGATCCCATCTGCCAATTGCATCTTCACACAGAGCTCATCCTCATCATAGTTCACCCATTGAGCTTCTTCTTCATGGAGTTCCTGCACCTTGGATTTCAGAGAAAAAAGTGTTAGCACGCCATTGTTCCTTGGAATATTATTCTTTAGGCCTTCTACAACAAGTAAAAAAACAAGCCTGGAAAATGTGGACTTCAGAAATAACTGGCAATGACAGAGCAGTAAAAAGAACAGTTATATTATACAGATCATCTTTTAATTAGATAAATTAACTTTACCAAAGTATTTTTACTTTAACTTCTCCTTTAGTTTATTGTTAATTTTAAAGAAATTCATTATTTATGTACAAGTTTTGTGCTTGAAAAACATTACTCGTGTGCCATCATTCCTGGTCAGTAGTGTGAATTCAAATTGAAATAGTCTTAAAATTAATTAATTGCTTATTTGTAAAAAGTCAACAATGTGACCAGTGCTGCCCAAAAGAGGAAAACATTATTGAAATCAGTAAGAAAAGACAAAGAAAAACTGATTGAGGGGGAGGGAGGAGGAGGAGGAAGATAGGTGATTAGTATATAAAACTTATAAGCATCAGAAATCCCTAATGAAGAAATTCACACTTCATTACTAATTCTCAAATTAGAAGCAAAAATGCTGGCAAGCAATGCTATTGTGCAACACTATGATAAGTGCAAAATAGTTTTTTTCTTTGTACAGCATCAGTACTAGCTTAGAGACTCATGTGCCAGCTGCTGTGCACGGTCCAGACTGTAGAACTGCTTGGGCTGCAGATGGCCTGTAGGCCAAGAGTTTAACACCCCTGCTCTAGATCTTGCCTACAGCAGAAACACTGAAACTTCCTGTTCTGCCTGGTGACAAACAGGCCCACCTGAGGAGTGCCCCACTTGTGGAAAAGAACAGAAGCAACCTGGGGTGGAGAGCTCACTCGTGAGCAGAGACCTGTCTGCTCAGTTTGTCGGTAAAGGCATTCCCAGACTCTGGAGAATGCAGAAATCCTAGAGACAGGCCATCTTCTGACAAAACACTGTGGAATGAGCCCCTCCCTGCCTGTTGATGTAGAACATCATGACCAGGTTATCTATAATGACTCTGACCACTCTGCCCAATAACTGGGGCAGAAAGACCCTACATACCTTGTGCTAACCCTAACTCCTCTTCAGTAGCTGGGGTGGTGGACCAGGAGGCCTCTGGTGCGGCTGTCTCAAGAGGTATGTGGATAGTGCTTCTAATGCTCTGGCCACTGAGCTTTGAGGCTGCTCTGAGGCTGCACAGGAAACTACCACAGGTTTCATGGACAGTACTGGGTATGTCAAGGTGTCTGAGGTCATTGCACTGATTATAGTCCTGTCTGCAATTTCATGATGAGGGCAACCAAGTTGGTACCAAGGCTTGTGCCTGTGGGAGAAAGCAGGGCTCAGAAACGCAGCCTGCGGATCCGACACTGCCCGGCAACCATGATGGAAGGGAGTGCCTGCTCACCCTCATGTGGTACTAGCTGCTCCTGGTTGACAGTGACCCAGCTGACTGAGGGGAGCATCTGGAATGGCACTCCCCTCAGTGTCCTGTGCTGTGGGTGAGTGACCGATACGGAGCAGTGGATAACTGGTTCCACAACCTGGAATGAGATCTCAAAGAGCCTCTGCACTCTTCCAATACATGCACTGAGGAGCACAGTGCCGGTGGATCGGTGACCTGTCTCTTGAGTAGAGTCTGGACCGTGCACCTCTGAAAGTCTACACCCGGCTACTGGCAAGCTATGCTTCAGGTTGCCAACCCCTGTTGTGCCACCTGTGGATTGTATGGCGGGGCGAACTCTGGTGCAATGCCCCTTCAATAGGGGTATTGTCTACTGGGAGACCAAGTTGGGAAAAGTAAGGGATTTTCCCTGCTGAGGTCTTGCTATCACCAGCGTAGGTGGCACTGCCATTGAAAGAATGTCCTGGGCTGCTTGAAAGGCCTCCCGGGTGGTTGGCATGCAGAAACAGGCACTGCTACCTGGAGTGGGCAGTCAGCAGCAAGGTGGACTACTTCGCTCCATGTGAAGTGGGGAGCCCTGGTTGATGGGATTATTCAATGTGTCCAAACTGTGTCCCTGTTTGGACTTGTCAAACAGGGCCTGGAGACCTGTCTCTGTCCGTCTTCTTGAGCCTCTTGTCCAGAGCCCAGGATGGGAACCCGTAGTGCACTGCACACGGAAGCACTGGTGGTCGGTGCCAAGTCTGGGTGCTGTTCTTGCAGGGCAAGAACCATCTCCATGAGGAGAGTTTTAATGAATAACTCTCTTTTTCCTGGTTTGTGACCAGAAAAATTTACAAAATTCAGCATTTGTCGCTAATATGGGCCTCACAATGTCTCTAAGGGACTTCTTAACACTGCTTACTACCAATAATCGACAACTAAGAGAGAACTACAGTAAAACTCCAATAGTCCAGCATCAAAATGGCAAGAGCCTAGTGAGTGAGTTTTGGCAAAAAACGAGTAACAAGGCAACAGTGGCAGCAGCTGAACCAAGCGAAAAGGGTAAAAAAGGGTTTAAAAACCTAAAACATCATTGTATACAGTATGTACAATAAAAAGGGTTAAGAACACTTTATATACAGTATATAATGTATACAGTATATAACCAGCTTATAGTACCTCCTGATAGTTCAGCATATCCGATAATCCGGCACTACCTAGGTCCCAAAGGTTCTGGATTATCGGAAGTCTACTGTATTTACAAGGAAAACAACTAACAACAAAATGAAAGCAACAGTAAGGGCTGTAGCACTGCAGGTCCAAGCACCTTCACTGGCAGTAAGAAGGAACTGAGTGGGAGGGGATCCGGAAGTGCCCTATATAGTGTGGCACATACGCGCTACTCCAGGAGGTGCTGGAGCCAATCCCCTATGGATACTGCTGAGGGAAAATCTTCGTGCATTGGTGCACATGGCAAGCACATGCACCCATGTTGAATGGACATGAGCAAGCACTTGAAGTATTGCCTCTTTGCTTCCTGGTTGGCAAAGTCATAACACTACATGTACTTTACTATCACTATTGGTAGATTTGGAGAAGAGGAACGTAAACAAATCTCTTGGCCTATAGTACAAACACTTTATAGCAGTGGTTTCCATATTGTGGTTCCCAGCATGCCGGATAGACACATGGTACTGGCTCTCCTTGTTTTCAGCTGATACAGCCAAAAGTAAACACGTCCTTTATAAGGAGCAAATCAAATTTGGACAATAAATCAACAAGAAACAGACTAACTACATTTTAGCTTCTGCATTCTCCTATGCTAGTATGATGACAATGTGACCCTGGTAGACCAGGACCCAGCTCATGGCGAAGCCACAGATCAAGTCACTTGTGCATCAATATAGATCAGAGTAACTGATAAATGTATGAGTGTACATCTGGCACTTAAATTTAATGAAAAACTAATAGGTTTTCACTTATTTGTATATCTTGATATAATGTAATAGTAAACATTTATATTGTAAATATCCCTGTAACTAAATAACCCATCAGCCTTTTGAAATGCAAATGAAGGACTTTAACAGAAAAGTGATAATTTTAAAGCAAATGGTCATTATATGTGATGGATCAAAGACTCAAAATGCAGTCTTCACTCTCTGTTGTCAAAGGAAAAGACCACCTGAGTAGTGACCCCGTCAGCTTGTTTTCTGATAGAAGAAGCTTGAAAAATGGATTCAGGGAACCATCATTCATCTCTGGACTGTTTGGGATGTTTACCAGATGCAAAGCTGAGAACCCCAGAAACAATCTGGGTACCTTGAAAAGATTTTAGGGAAACTGGCAGTTTATTTACATGACCGCCACCACAAAGAATTACAAACACTGACTCACTTGGGCATATATTTTACCTGCTTTAACCGCTCAATAGCTCTCATTTCCTTTTCTTAGCTAATAAATCTTTAGTTTATTTACAAAAGAAAAAAAAATTTTTAAATTGGCACCCAGGGCAATCTTTGGTGTAAGATCTAGAATAACAACTGATCTGGGGTGGGGGGAGGAGGTGTCTCTTGGGAATGGAAGCAGCATTGTGTGTCATGATTTTCAGTTTGAGTGATCTTTTAATACAAAGTCCAATTTGTCTGGGTGACAAGACAGACTGGAGAATCTAAGGGGACTGTCTGTGACTCTATGATAGTCATCCAGGAGTTCGCATTTGTTACTGGCCTGGGGCATTCTAATTTGGAGTGTCTGTCCTAAAGTTGGCACACTCAGTTGTGAGCCACTCCAGATAGCATGACAGGCAGTATTTGAGATGCAAATATATATTTGTTTAATAAACCTATTCATAAGAACACAGACGAAAAACTATTGGCTATATTTCTGTTGATCTTGGGTTTCTGAAGACAAACATCTACAAAAGCTAAATCTGGATCCAACTTTGATTTGTTTCCTTAACTGACTATTGCCATGCTCAGGAAAACTGAAACTCGGTTTTTGAAACTCCAATTAAATCATCCTGTTCTATTTCTTTTTGAACACTCCTATTTAGCAAAGCATCTGATTTAGTGATGCTGCCATAATCCAACATTTGTTTTTGTGGTCATGAATTGTGGGGAAACAATAGTAGCAGAAGCTGGGGCTGACTAGGGAACAGAGAAAGCTGACCAGCTGCTTAACAGTTTTAAAAGGTTTTAACAAAGTATGTTTACAGAAGTTTTCTGGGGCTTGGCAACTCTTTTTAAGCTAGAAGTTTCTCTTTTGATAGCTTATGTTGCAGTGAAAAGCTTAGCAACAATGTCACTGAGCACTGCCAATCCCCCTAAGCAAACAGTATAACACAGAGTTTGTTTTTATAGATTTTTCCTATCCTTCAGCTTCAATGATGGCTGTTTTACCTCCGTTTCTTTGAGAGAGAGAGAGGGAGGATGAAACACAGGATTGTTAAGATTACATTTATTAAAATATATATGTATTATGGCATGTTAACCTTTGACACCTGGATTCTTGATGAAATCTGGAAGATTAGGGCCTGAATTTTCAACCTGATTCAACCCGATTCACTTTATTGAATGTTTCCAACTGGGACTAATTCATAATAACTGAAAGCTGATAGACACCAGCATGTTTCATATGCATGCTTCATATCCAATGTGGCTGTACTTTATCTTATCATAAATAATATTAATTACAACACATGCACTAGTAAAACCCATATATTCCAGGATACTTGACCCTAACTTTAAACCCTTTACTTAGCAAGACTTTTCTGTCAGGGACAAAATTGCACCTCAGCTAACACTTTGCTGGTGGGAGAAGAAAAGACTGAAGTGATCCATTGTTTCAGTTAAGTGGTATCCTATACAGGCCCGTACACAGGGGGAGGGGGATGTGCAAAGGGTGCGAAAGCACTTCCCATGGTCCCCCAAGTAAGCACGCTTGGGCCGGCCAGGGGAAGGCAGGAGCAGCGCGCTGCCTAAGCCTCCCTCCCTCATGCTCTGACCAGCTGGAGGAAGGCTGGGGCTGATTTCCCCGCTTACTCAGGGGACCATAAGGGGTGCAATCACACCCTTGCTATCCACATTTACAAAAAAGCCTCCCCTCCCCAGAAATTCCTACATACAGGCCTGTTATATACCTATTTAAGATATAATTAAGGTAAAGGCTAAGATAAATTGGCAACTCTTATGTTGCCAAGTAGACTCCTGCGCTTCATCACAGATGAGAGAGCGCCCAACCATTCAATAACATCACCCAAAGATCAACTTTAAAAATCTTGCTCCCATGAGTCATGTTCCATCCCTGCATCAATGGTTGGCAGCATATACTATCAACAGAACATACATGCAGAAGTAGTATATGAGCAGCAGGACTGCTCAATGCTTGCTTAATAAACATGCTGAGGGTATCCTGTGGCACAGCTGCTACCACAGCACAATGAAGATATAATCACTTTGAAATTACAATCCTCTTTCAAACTCTGCACTGGTCTAAACTTCAGAACTCTTAAAAAAGCCAAGAAATGCTGTATTGGAATTCTAACATGAGAAGGAGCTTAATCTATTTGACTTGCAGGATTACTTGTCATAGCAGAAACTACATTACTAACAATTAGATTCATCAAGGCAGAAAACCAGCCCTTTTCCTAGAATTTGTGACAAGTCAGAATATCATTTTTGGTCCAAAGAAAAAAGGTTATGCTTTCAGTTATTCATTTTACATTGTTTACTGTTTAAATAAATGGTTTTAACTTTTGATTCTTCTCAACTTTCTCCTCTTCTTACCATCTACCCACACTTGTGATTTGTTCATTGTAACTGCCCCAATGTAAATGGACGATACAGAGCTTAAATATAGTTCTATACTGTGCAGTTAGGATTAACTGCCTTTTGTCAAAAGTTATTGTTCATGTCTTTTTTTGAGATCTAGATAACAAACATTTTATATTCAGGGGACAGAATACTTTCAAACTACTGAATGCTTTTATCCACTGACCAGTATATGATCCACTCTGTCCCGTTTCTTGCGTCCAAACTTCATCATCTTCTGCCAGTCTGTTTTGTGATTAGGTTCCTTCCTCAAGCCGAACAATTTTAGTACTTCAGCTGCGATGAAGCTCTAGAGGAACAAAACAAGTTAATACTGTATTTAAGAAAAGACGTGAATCCTGTACACAGCACCTGACATACACAATCTGATACAGATTACACCTCTCTAGTCTGGTACCCTTGGAACTTGATGGGTACCAAACTAGACAATTTGCCAAACCACGGGAGGTCAATATTGTAGAGAGCAGTAGGGATGTAATACTGTAGTCGGTTAACCGATAAGCAAAAGCTTATAGGTTAATGCTACAGACTACATGCATTCCCCTCTCCCTCATCTTGCCAGTACATTTTTAGCAGGCTGGCCAACAGCCCTGCTCATTCCTGTCTTGCGATGAGGCCGGGACCTACCACCCCTGTTGCGGCTCTGCATTTAAAGTGTATTAGGAGCCGGACAGGCAGCCCAGTTCAGTTCCGGGTCGTGCTGGTTCCAGGGGCACATACACATACACCCCCGTAGACAAGGGGCTGCTGCCACACCCCGCGCTGTTGCCTCTAACAGGGCGATAGGCAGCTGTTCCACATGGAGCTGGTTTTTAAACTGGCTCCCCTCATGGACCAGCTCCCTCCTGGCACCTCATGCTGCTGCATGGAGTGGCAAGGGGGCTCCTCAGGAGTGAGGTCCTGCCCCCAGCGACTACAGAATAGTCGACTAACCGATAAGAATTATAAGGTTAGTCGACTATTCAATTAACCGATATTTAACATCCCTAGCGAGTGGTTATCTTTATTTTGTTGAGGTGAATAAATAGACAATGCTTGCAATACTGCTTAATAATGTATGACTGTACTGATCAGTGATGTAAAATCCCATTTAATCAGTCAACCAGTTAAATGTTATGTTAACTGGTTAACGACTCAAACGTGTGAGCTGCTCCCGCCTGGCTGGAGTGTTCCCTGCCCCGGCAGGCTGCTCTGGCCAGGCCAGGCTGCAGCAGCCCTGTTTGCACTGGGAAGGGGGCTGCTCTAGCCCAGCCAGGTCACGGGTTAACCACTGACATCCCTAGTACGGACACAACCTATATAAGCCTATGCCTAGCCAAGGCTTATCAGCTCTCTTCATAACAAAGTATTAATGGTGTTACATAATTTTATTGTATTGGGACAAGGAAATAAAGTATAAAACCCATGCTTATGCTTAGTGGCATTACCAACATTTCCACTGCTGCTGGGCTCTTGCAAGACATTTAGGGGTAAATTAGAGCTAAACAGCACAGAACACTGAGACCACGGATGTGGCCGGCCAGAGAGTGCCAGACTAGAGAAGTTCAACCTGTTTTAAAATACAAGGTGGATTTCTGTTTAACTATGAAAAGTATATCATAGTGCAAGAGATTTACAATGGAACCACTGAACAATAACCCTGTCTTAGAGGCAACATTATGCAGACAGAATACTGTATTTAATAAAAGGATGAAAAAAGTGCAGCCTTTAGAGATGTAATTGACTGGAGAGCACAACTTTCACTTAAATGATACAGTAAACTGGTGACTAAAACCAATCAGTGTATGAAAGGACACTGTAGAGAAATAGGGTTATCCTTTTAACTTTATTATTCCCAGCTATTATCAGTTCAGGGAAACTATGGCTTGGCAGACCTAGGTTCTGTCCCTGTCTCAGCCAAAGATTCATTGTGTTATCTGGGGCAAGCTACTTTTCAGTTATACTTAGAAAAATGACTTTGGAAAACAGCACTAAGGGCAGGGGACATTCCTGGTGTCTCAATGATTTCCATATGAAAAGTGCTAGTTTGGCACACATTTTTTTCTAACATACAGCCTTGTAAATTCAATCTAGGCTCAACAACAAGTTGAGTTTTTCCTTCTTGAGCACTATCACCAATAATGAAAATTCGGCAGACCAAACTAGGCCCTGTAACAGCAGTGCACCCATTTCATTCTCAAGTCATGTCCTTAGTCCATCTGTGCAACTCCACTACTTTCAGTGAGGTTGGCACAGGTTTATTGGATTGAAGTTTAGCATGCAGATGATGCATAGGAAACATAAAACGTAGCTCGCTCTTTTAGCCCCTATCCTGCAACCAGATCCATGACAAGAAACCCTTACATACAGTCCCACTGATGTCACACAAATCAGATTGCAGTACTGAGGCCTGTTAGATCTCTAGTAACCAAAATTTTAAAAAGTCACAAAAATCAGCAAATACAATAACAAAAAAAGAAGAAGAGGTGAGTCAAGTATTTATATAGTTGCTTTTCAGAGAAAAACCACTCTTGCAAACTAAATGAGAACAGTCATAATATAATAGTATCTTTCCTACCTTGATCTCATCAAGGTCATTTGGATCTTTTACTCGCCGGAAGTAAGCGGAGGTAATTCTACATGGTTTCATCCAAATAGGCTGATTCAAATTAGGATCCTCAGCAAAGATTTCCCCAAAAATCTCTCTTGTCAAGTCAAATACCGCCTTGACAAAAAGAAAAAAAGTCAAAATTAAAACTTCAGCTTCTGAGGGCAACTATCCAGGGGATGAGTTCAATGTTCCCTAGGACTGTACCTGCTTATAGACCTGTTTACTTATAGTCTCCATGTCCTGCTCTCTGGTGGTGGTACCAAGGTCTATGGGAAGGCTGATGTTCTGAAGATCGTGACCCAACTCTTTCAACTTCCACAATTCCTCAGCTGCTGAACACACCATGCTTTCTACTTCCACTGCAGTATGTGGAACAGCCAAAGGCTCCTCACATGGCTTAGGTGTTGCTTTCTGTGGCTCTATCTTGGGCAGCACCGCTGGTTCTTCAGTTTGCTTCTGTGGGACCTTCTGCAAGCTCAAGCCAAAGTCCTCATCAAACCAGTCTTGATCATCTCCTAACACACTCAGAAACTCCCGGCTAAGCTCCAGTTCTGCCAGCCTCTTAGCAAGCTCCTGTTGTCCACTGGCACCAAACACTGGACTTTCCTGTGGAATAAGAAACAGAATTACAGAGTTAGTAGTCAAAGCAGTAGGGTACCCTACTGTCCATCAAAAAATTGTTATAATTAGATCTTGACATGTACTTCTGATAAGATTGTCAGTGTATATAAAACACTTTTCAATAATTATCTAAAAAAATAAAGAGTAGAAACATTCGATTCTCCTCTTATTCCTGCACTTTCATCATTCCTTTTCCAATGTTTTCGAAAAGTTTGCAAGGAGTTTACAACAGAGAAAAGCATTTTTAAAAGATTGATCATCTGTTCCTGTCATTCATTCTGCCCTGAAACAAAACTGCTTATGAGGGGGTGGGTGGCTCAACAGTTTGGTAATGGAATATGCAGCTTTTCACTTCATTTAATCACCAATATCCATCACAAGCTGATGGCTGCTTGGTGACCTATGTGAAAGTGAGCTGGTGCTCTTTGTGATAACATATTAAGAATATCAGTACAGTTGTCAGCTTTGTTAGGAGCCTCAGCAAAGAGGCCATGTCTTACCTTCAGAAGTGTTTCTGGGGAAGCTTGAACTTCCACTGTTCATGATATATCTATTCAGTGGATATTACACTTCACTTATCAGAGTGCTGTTAACCCAGCACCTTTAACAGTTTGACATCTTAATGATCTCTATAGCAACTAATTGTAAGGTCAGAGAATGATATTTCAGATGGAGAGTAAGCAGAAGCAAACTTACTCTTCAACAGAAGAGTCTGTGTTCATGCAAATTAAATTAGGATTATGAAAAATGAGGTGAAGCAAAACGCTGAGTAGAATGTTTTTGTTTTCTATGCTCTGCAAGTAGGTCTTTCAAAGGTCTAAAAATGTTTCAAAATGTACCATAAAGTGAGATATACAGTGGATGTCACCTGACAACACTTGGGAGGAACAAAATTGGTAGAACACTACACCCCTCTTTAGAGTCAGTAGATCAAACAATTAATATACTAGCTTTTGAAATAAATGCAAGCTATATACTCACTGGTCTGGGACACATATCTGGAGAGGAAACTTCTTCTCTTTCATCTTCCAATTCAGAACTTAAAAAAAAGTTTTGCAGACCCTTTGCTACCTGTTTCTCCACATGCTGGGCCGGGATTCCGGATAATTCCTCTTGGACATCACAGAGCTCCTGATTGCTAAGTTGAATCTTCTCATTCCTCACCTTCTTGATTTGTTGTAGCTGACTGACAGTGTCCTTAACAAAATCCGTAAGTAGACTGACTGTCAACAAGCTGACCTTTTCTAGCTGATCTTTTGACTTTTCTTCCTCTCTAAGAGGCAGCCTAAGTTGGGCCTCTAACTGATTCTTTTCCTTGGTCAATAGGTCCAGAAGGGGAGTTGCAGGCTTTTCCAAAACTCCAGGAGAGAAGTTATCTGACTTTTCAATACATTCCTCCCCTGAGGACTGCTGCCCCTCTCGCTTTTCAGAGAATATACCCTCTACGGTATCTTTCAATAGAACAGTGGAAACACTTTCTGCGGCAGAAATAGATGGTACATGGACAGTCTCATCTTTTATAGCATCTTTCAGGAAGTCTACCACAGAGAGCTCTTCGGAAAGTGGTTCAACAGCTGCAGGAATCTCCTCCTTTATACGATTGACTTCAGAACTGGAGTAACCATCAACTCTTTGCCCAACAGAGGCTTCTAAAGCAGTCATTCCAGGTACAGCTTTATCTAGGGAGGATCTATCAATGGCATCTCTTCCCTTGCTTTCTTCATCTTTGCCAAATTTGGAACTTTTTTTGTCTTTCTGCTCAGTTTTCTGATGCTGATCCAATCTGTCATCAACAAATGAATCTTCATCTTCCTTAGTGTCTATAAAGGTATCAAAACTTTCTGAAATGTGAGAGATCTTTTGAGGAGGAGCAAAAATACCATGCTTTTCCTTACAATCAAAATATTTAATACCATCATAAGTCCCATTGTTGTTTCCCTGAGGTTCATCCAGCTCCACACCAGCCCAAAACCCTTTAGCAAAACTGGTCAGACCTTTGAATCGCAGTGTTCCAGGCTGGACATTACTCACAAGTATCCTGTCACCAATACTGAAATTTACCAGTGTGTCTGCTTCTTCTGTGATGGAAACTGAGGCCCAAAGTGGAGATTCAATGGGGGCTTGTTCTTTCTCCACATCACTGCGTTCTTTATTTTTTATGAGCTCTGTTGGTGACTTCAGTTCTAATAATCTCTCTGAATGCACACTGCCAGAGACGGAGAAAGACTTGTCGCTGAGATATTCACTTATTTCATCTTCACTGCCACGACTGGTGGATCTGCTTCTAGGGGGTTTTGTATGCTGTGATTTCTCTCTAAACGACTGATAATCTTTTCTGTGTGAGAACGTAGGCACCTCAAAATCATCTTTATAAAATTCACCAGGAGGAATTTCTTCAATTGATGTTTCTTTTCTGGGGGAGGACCCCTCAAAATCTTCAGAGTATGATGGCTCTTTTTGAGTAAAAGCTTGTTCTTGAAGAGAGGTGTCTTTTTCCTGTGCCCACTTGTTCAACTTAAAAGAGGACTTTTCTGATCTGTCACTTTGATCACTCCCTACATCATCTTTGACTGTCTCGCTTTCTTTTGAAAACTCTTCTTTACTCTGAATATTTTCAGCAGCTAAGCTAAACAGTTCCTTTTGAGACCGTTCAGAATTGGAGTGGAGGTCTCTCTTTGGAAGGCCTTCTGTTAAGCTCTCCTGGTGTAAATCTAGTGTCAACAAGGCACCAGAACTCTCTGAATGTTTATTATTAGCATCTTCAACCACAGATTCTTCTGATTTTATGTACTCCATCTCCTCTTGTATTTCAGATTTGTGACTTGAAACAATGTCATCACTGGATACATCTTCTGACTTGCTCACCAACACGTGGGATAGCCTGCTACCATCTCTTAGGTCTTTGACAAGAGCTGATGAAGACACACTATCCAAGGAATCACCAGATTCAGCTGCGGATCTCCTTGGTGACTTGAAGACTAGGGATATGGTTTGGGAAGGTTCTTCTGTATGAACCTCTGAGTCAATGAGTCTCTTGACATGTACAGAGGCAGACCTCTCAGAACTTGATGACACAGCATCTTAAACAAAAAAAAATTAATCATCACAATTCTAAATCATTCAGAATAATCTTTTGCTATTTTTTAATCCTATCAGAGCAAGACATGAATAGGAGTGCCTGTTATTTTATTGGGAAACTGTAGCCAAAGAAAAACAGCTGTTCAGTCAAAAGACTAAAGGATATTACCAGGGATTTGTGAAAGTTCCACAGACTTCTAGACTGTCCTGTAAAAACTAGCAGCAACCTCTGTATTCCTTATCTATTAGGTCTCCAGAGCCTTCCTTCTAGCCTCTTACCTCTGCTATTATTCTGTAAAGAGTTTATTATTGTGGAATGGGACTTTGTTGTAGAGGCTCAGGCATTTGTCTGGAGATCACAAAGGTAAACAAGGTTATAAATGAATGTGGAGAGATAAAGATTAATAACAAATCACTAAAAATATCTGGGAAAAAATCTTGTGATGTTTTTGGCTTCTTCAAGGGCAGTTCAGGCAGTCTCCGGGTTACGTACAAGATAGGGACTGTAGGTTTGTTCTTAAGTTGAATCTGTATGCAAGTCGGAACTGGCGTCAGCCGCTGCTGAAACTGATCAGTTTCAACCACGGCTGAATCTGGATGCCAGTTCTGACTTACATACAGATTCAACTTAAGAAACCCAGGCGTCCCCAAGTCAGTTGCTGCTGAAACCGATCAGCGGCTGATTACAGGAAGCCTGGGGCAGAGCAACTCTGCCGCTGGTCAGTTTCAGCAGCGGCTGACTTGGGACGCCTGGGGCAGAGCAGCTGGGGTACTGCTGGTTTGCTCCAGTAGCGCGGCTCCTCGGCGCTACTGGAGCAACCCAGCAGCACCCCAGCTGCTC